CCAGACTTCAACAACAGGCAACAGTGGTCACTTTCTGGATACCCGAAAATTCAAACTAAGGCTCCGTGCGATAAGATCTCCCAAAGAGACCACCCTTCTGGGACCAGAGGATAAGGGGTTGGATTGACTCGATGGGTTCGCGTCCGGCTGCTGTTGGCTCCCAGCTGGGGCTGTTTTAAGCCCAAACCCACATCGGGTAACGCGCTCACAACCCAACCAACCCCAATAACCCCAACCGCACTCCTCCAAGCCCGAGGCAGCACCCTACAGACCCAAAGCCCGACATGTGACTGCTGTGCTCTACAAGCCAGACGTTTACAAACGCTGCGTTGTGCAGCTGGTAGAGAGACGCCATGCGGGTGAACGTTGGCGTGGGGGATGTGGCACCTGCCTGAGATTGAGTGCTTATAAGGACCTGTTTAGGATTTCATCGGTTTAGGGTTCATGGTTTAATGAGGTTTGAAGTCATCGCTTTGTGTGCGTTTGATACATCCCAGATGTGGCAAAGCTCTAAACCCAAAGCCCTAAAACAGGTCCCTATAGGGCTCCGAAGTCGACCTTGGACTGCGCTCCCTCGAACACTTGTAGGCAGACTCGCTGACCGCTGGTAACCCCCTGATCCCGCCAACCGCAGCCTGATACCCCAAGCTCCCTGGAAGCCTGGTTTCAGGTTCAGGGTTTAATTGTAAGGTACAGGGTTCAGGGTTTAGGGATTAGGATGGTTTAGGGTGTAGAGTTTAGATTTGAAGGTTTAGGGCTCAGGGTTTGTTTAGGGTTTGGGGTTGAGGGCTTTCGGTTTCGGCCTTTCGGGCTCAGGGTTCACCTAACGGGTATCAGGAGGGACCCCTAGAAGACAGCCCTACAAACCTCTGTATATACCTTTTATCGTCACTGTATGCCTATGTCGCCCCTAAATCCCCCCCAATACCTTAAGGTCCCTTGCAAGGGTCCCTCCTTTCGTCCCTTGATTCACCCAAACCTGAACATCGAAGAGGTCGTCATGGTCGTGCTGTTCAGCCTCACGGTGGCCAAGGGCGCCTTGGCAGTTGTCAGTACTTGTGCGCTTGGCGGAAGGGATAAGTTTAGAGGTTTAGGGGTTTAAAGTTAACGGCTGGAAAAGCGACTTTCTTGGGGCGGGGTCGGATAGAGAGGGGTTTCAGAAAGGGCTGTGGTGAGATTTTGTTGGGTGATCCCGGTGGATGCTGCAAAAAGCGTGTCTCGGGACTGGAGTTTCTCCTAAGTACTTCGTTCCCATCCACCCCACCGCTTGGTTAGTGAAAAATCTCGTTGGCTTTCAGGGGTTTTGAGTTTGTTCAGTAGTGGGTTAGGAATTGCATGATCAAACACACGAAAGAGGCAACCACATCAGGTCATCAGAGCACAAATCCTCCACAGTGGTTTGATATAGCCCTGCTTAGCCAGTGCTTGAGCCCTGTTTGGGTGCGTCCGAGTGTCTCCGCAAGTAGCTTGAGACCCACTCTTCAACCCTCCGAAAGTCCACCGCCCCAGTCCTTGCAACCCTTGCTTAACCCCGCCCTCTAACACCCTAAAAACCCCCTTACCCTTCAACTTCAGCCCTAAACCCCTTGAACCCCTAAACGCACCCTTTAAACCCAATCTCAACCCCTTAAACACCCTGAAACCCCTTAAACCCTCCATTCCCCTTATGCTAACAGTCCTTAGTACAGATTACAATAGGGGCTACTATAGTCCTTATTAGGTTACTGTTAGAAAGGGATGACATCCCAACCCAAACCCTAAACCCTCAAGCCTAAACCCTAAACCTCAAAACCCCAAAACCCCCTAAAACAGCATCCTGGAGGCATCTGGGTCAGCCTCAAGGCGAAGAAGTCGCGGGAAGCGTCTGGTGAGCCCGGGCCTCAGACCTCGTGCTTTGATGAGGGGCCATAGGGGGGGTTTTGGGTGTAGGGCTCTTAGGGCTTTCTTCAGATTTCAGGCGTTTCAGGGATATCAGGGATTTCGGGCTCGAGATTTGAGGGCTTGAGGGTTTCAGGCTTTAGGAATGTGATTGGGGTTTGGCACCCGGAAAGCTGCTAGAGTCGAGAAGTCAGCAAAGCTTTGCAGGCTTCAGGCTGTTGAAGCGTGGAGATCTAAATTGTGGTCCCTTTCTGGTACACAGAACAGCACGGAGGACACTGTAAGAGAGAGATCGAACTTGTGGGAGCCTCCTTAACGGGGTCCATAGAACAGCTTAACCTCCATGAGCCTTAAACCAGATGCTCCAAACCTCAGAAGCCCTAAACCACAACAAGGCCGGCAGACTTCTTCCTGGCTGGAAGAAGTATGCCTTGGTGGGCCGTGGGGCCACTCGCCCTTACACTTGTCTTATCTTTTTGTTGTTCTTTTATTTCTGTGTTATCTCCTTATCGTTTCTTTGTTTTTGTTTTTTCGTTTAGGGGGGGGGGGGGGGGGGGCTGGGGTAAGTTGGGGGGCTAGGGTTCGGACATGAATCCCGTGCCAAAGGAACTAGAGTGGCTTGAGATGGGTTTTTGTAGGTATAGTTCTAAGAGCGCCTTCAAGTGTTAGGGTCGGCGTGCTGAGGGCCTAAGGTCTTAGGGGTGTCTGCATTCAGCCAGCACCTCGCACCATACGTCTGCCGAAGAACTTAGAAGGTTGAATTCCGACAACCCTAACTCCCATCTTCACGAGTATACCCGCATAGTACCATCACGTGCCTTTTCGCAGTCACAGTTTGCCATGACAGTGCTAAACTCCCTAAAGCCCGAATGTACGAAACCGCGAATTCCCAAAGCCCTAAAACCCTTGAACGATATTTGTGGGTCTTGGATCTCAGCATAGATGGTGTCAAGCTGGCGTGGGCGTAATTAGGGGTGTGGGGTGGGTGGTTCATGCATGGCTCAGAGAACGCAAGCTACTCCTCAAACTCTTTTGAGAAACCCAATGCCCTCCCACCCTAAACCTGCTCAACCTCATACTGTTCTGTTCCCATTTATTGTGCAATTGTGCCTTTAAGGTTCTGAGTTTGGAAGTCATCTTAGACTTCCATCCCCAGCGGCCCCCCTTCTCTGGGCTCTGCCGAGGCTGAGCATCTTTGACGGGTCCTCAGCTGCCTGGGCGTCCGGATGAAAGGAGGGCCTTCCTTCTTGTGGCATGGAGATCTTTGTTGGCTAGGACCCGGCTAGGACTCGCAGAGCTGCAAACGTCATGAATACAGGAGCCTCCGAAGGCAGGATTGGCTTGTTCATGATTGTGATCATGATGAAATTTACTACCGCCTTTAGAACTGACTCTTACAGAAATGTATTACATGCAACTTCGGTGGTGATCTCTTCACTGATTCAGTTTCTAGCCCCAGCTCTGAGAATCCCCAAGGCGTCGAACATCGGCACGGAGCACTTTGTGGGCCAGGCCATGCGCAGCTGTCTCGTCGATTTCGGCTTGCGGCAACCCCACAAGATTCAGATTTCCATGTGCATCTCTATGGCATGTAGACATCCAGATGATTGTTGTACCCAGAAGGGGCTTAGGCTTTGACAAAATGGTAGGCGAACGAAGGCAGTCAGAATTCTCTGACCCTGAGCACCAGACCCCAAATTTCTAAACCATACTCTCAAAACGGAGAGGCAGGCGCCGCTGCTGAGGGCGGTGTCTCTGTGGCCATGTACGAGTGGACTGCAGGCAGAAGGGGGGCCATTTTCTGGGGTGGATCGAACGTGTGGGCCCTTCTTGATTCCGTCAACCAAGAAAATTGCTATAAAAAGAGAGCCCCTTCCCAAAGAAAAAGAAACGAGAACAAGAGAAGGCCCATTACTGTGGATAAGCTTCTCATGAGTCATCGAAGGGGGATGCAGGGTTGTAAAGCTGGCTGGGGACAGCTCGAGCTATGAGAATGGCTTTTAGGCTTTCACCTTCAAGGGCTCAGGATTTTGGGGACTGGAGGTGTTGGAGATAGTAAGGCGCTTCAGCATGAGACGGATTCATAAGGCATAGCCGAAGGCAGGGCAGATGTCCCAAGGCCCAAACACTTGTGGCCTGCCACTGGCTCCACACCTAAACGACCCGTGACAAGAACAGTTCGGCCGGCCTGAGCAGAGCGTCTGAAACATGCTAGGGAAACGGAATGTGCATTCATGAGAAAGTAGTTCTGAACCTCACCCCGCACTCAACCTGCGCCTTACCCCAACGCCTCGCTCAAGGGATGCCATTCCGATGCTCACAACAATTTTGCAGCATTTCCTGAACAATCTTCAGCAAGGCATCGCAGGCCGAAGCCCCTAAAACTGGAGCCTCTCCAGCCCTAAACCCTAAGCCCTAAACCCTAAACCCTCAACACTCAAACCCTGACACCCTCAAAGGCTTTCTGGTGCTCTTCCTGGGCTTTGGCCTCGCTCCGCTCTACTTGGGCATCGCGTCCTGGCCGAATTTAGGGTTTAGGGTTTAGGGTTTAGGGTTTAGGGTTTAGGGTTTAGGGTTTAGGGGTTTCGGGTTTAGGGTTTAGGGTTACAAAAGCAAAAGCTCTCACCATGTCCGGGGTTGATCTACCGTTGCCACCCTGTTTAATTTCTTTGTGTCTCCATGCGAATGTAGTATGGCATTCTTTGCGGGGCCTTCTTTGGGCGTCTGTTCCAGCATATTCCTTGTAGACCCAAAAGGGCATGTGAATGTAAATCCCGTTGGAGTATGCATGTCAGAGTCCAAGTGTGGAAGATATCTTCGAGATTTCAGACAACACTTCCAATCTTGTGTTGATGTCGCATGCCTTCTGGGTTGAGTCTGACAACTTTTCGTCGGAAAGGGACAGGGGCTCACCCGAAACAGCTGCTGTCGGGCTCTTGTTGCTTGTGCCTGTAGGTGCTAAACCTTGGTTATCGATGCCGATCGACCCACCAAGCATGTTACGCACGCAAGGTTTTGTCAGGGGCTTTGATGCCGCAACTCCATGCTAAAGACACCGCAACTCCATGCTTGACGACTTATCTGTTGTCGCACACCCATCTCAGTAGTGTCTGGTTTCGCGTATGCAGGCCTGCATTGTGTCTGCCATTCCTGTTCAAGCGTTGCAAGCCTTGCTCAGTATGCTACTCCACTCTGCGAAGCAGCATTGCTGCGGTTGCCATGCGAGAGATGTCTTTAATCGCACGGTCCCTGCCGGATGTTTCAGCAACCTGCGCAGACCTGCAGCCCAGGGTAGTTCTGTACACAGGTTTCTCTTCAAGACAGCTTTGGCAAGTGAAGAGTCTCAGGCTCCTTGGCCGAAAGGCCCATCATTTGCATCTGCAGAAGTGCAAGGAGGTATGGCATCGGGCATCGCTCGATCTGAGGGAACTTGTGAGAAGCAAGTTCGACTCCAAAGGCTGAGGGACCACGCTGCTACTTTGGGAGGCAAGTGCTTGGCGGAGGAATACCTGAACAACAGGACAAAGATTCTTTGGCGGTGTATTCGTGGTCACACATGGTATGCGACGTCCAACCATGTGCTGTCTAACAAGTCTTGGTGCCCTCATTGCGCGAAGAAAGCGCCGATAGGTCTGGAGCGCCTCCGCACCCATGCTGCGTCCTTGGGTGGTCATTGCTTGGCGACTGAGTATGCCAACAGTCGCCAAAAAGTGTCATGGCAATGTAAGTTCGGGCATGTGTGGGAAGCAAGTCCGAGCAGCGTGCTGAATCAAAAGAATTGGTGCCCGAAGTGCGCCTGTTTAGCTCGAAGCAGTCGAGCCAAGCAGCCCAGAGTCCAGCTTATGTTGCACCATTTGCAGCAGTATGCTGTCGCGAAGCATGGTTTGTGCTTAGCAAAAGAGTATATCAACAGCAAAACCAAAGTACTTTGGCAGTGCGAGCTGAAGCATGAGTGGCATGCTACTCCAAGCAGCGTGCTGCACACTGGAAGTTGGTGCCCAACTTGTGCTGGCAACGCACGAAAGACCTTGCAGCAGATGAGAACTCATGCTGAGGCGCTAGGCGGTCGATGCCTCAGCACAGACTACTCAAACAACTATACACCTTTGCGATGGACCTGCCACTCGGGCCACCAATGGCTGGCCTCCGCATTGTCAGTCATGTCACATAAAAGCTGGTGTCCACATTGTGCGAAGATTGCGCCCATTGGTCTTATACGGTTGCAAGCACATGCTGAATCCTTAGGTGGAAGCTGCCTATCAAGGCAGTATACAAATAGCAGAAACATGCTTCTATGGGAATGCAAACGGGGACATGCGTGGAAGGCGTCTGCAAGTAACATTTTACATGGTTCAACTTGGTGTCCACATTGCGCAGCTCTGACCTGGAAGAACGAATCAGAGGTGCGACAAGTGTTGGAGGCAATATTTGCCCCAGCCAAGTTCGATGCCAGATTTCCAGCTTTCTTGCAGGGACTACAACTGGATGGCTACTGCCCAGAATTGAATCTTGCATTCGAATACCATGGCGAGCAGCATTACGACCCCGAAAATTATTTCCATTTCGGGGACCCATCCAAGTTCCAAAGGCAGCAAGAGAGGGACTCGCGAAAAGTGCAGCTCTGCGACCAAGCCGGGGTACGCCTCGTCGTGGTGCCCTTTTTCGTGAAGGACAAGCACAGTTTTGTACGTCTGGCACTGTTGCAGTGGTTCTCCGTTTCTGAAGTGAACCCGGTCATGATCACGAGTGGGATGAGGTTGACAGACAGCTTAACACCGACGACAACTCCAGTTGAAGGACTGAATGCATAGGAACGCAAGTTGACAATGAAACTTAGCTTCTCAGAACCTTGCAAGTAGTGTACTACCTGTTGCATTCAACTTCAAATAACATGCCCTTGACTTGACCGGCTTATCAAGCTGATGTTTAGTAAGGCTTGAACCCCGCCTCGCCATCTTGAATCCCAGGTCCTAAAAGCCTATGGGCTGGATAGGGTACTCGCCAGTAAACAAGCCTCAAGTAAACAAACCTGAGGGGGAAATAGATTGAAGCCGTCGCACCCGATACATCAGAAACGTGCGCCGAATTCCGGACGGGGCTCCTGCAATCAAACCTGCCAACTTTTGCAAGTGCCGTGCCTGATATATCGAATTGCTGTTTGAGGAAGATCAGTTTTGGAATCCATCCCGGCCTCGCAATCGGTTTGAGCTCTCCGCACATCTTACTTAGCCAATAGATGAATGTTATACTTCTCTGGCCCGCTGGCTTCCAAGGACATGTCGAGGGCACTTCCATCTTAATGGGTAGCATGTTTTATGCTCGACGCCTGGGACATACTTTGCACACATCGAGAAGTAAGAAATACTGTCTGAAGAGAGCTTTCGGAAAGAATCCATAAACCAAAAGTCCCGAACCCCAAGCCTAATCCAACGGCACGTCCCTACCTGTGACCCTGATCTGTATGCCCGATTCGATTCGGAGCCAAGGACTTGACTACTACGCCAGAGTGGTTCGAGAAGCGTCTGCCACCCAGTGTGAGCTGTGCAAGGTTGCGGACTTGGAGTTGACATGTCCAGTCTTCCGGTCTTGAGATGTAGTCAGCAGCTAGTTTAGGGCACGTGTCAGACGCAGCAGCTGACTGAAACAGTCAGGCTCGACCCTCTCCAGCTTCTCTTGATAGATCTCGGAAGGATTGTAGACTGCTCGGGCTCCAGCCTCAAGAGCACTACCTTTCCATAACCTACAGCATGGCATCCCACCTCGACCCTCTGATGCTAACCTTGCTATACTGGGCGCGGCGGGTCCTACAGTTTAAAAGTGGGCAATGCTATCATACCTACTTCTTTTCCCGGTTACCCGCGACCCAAAACGCTTCTAACCATTCTAACCGCCCTTGAGCACACATTACACACCCATAGAAGGCCAAAAACAACTGCCGTTTGGTTCCTACTGACTCCTAAAATAACCCCAAATTCCCACGATACCCTCCGCATATCTCAACCCATTCAGCCTCCAGGTTTCAACATCCAATGCCGCCTGCTGCTGGCCCTCATTTCCATGGTAGCCTACGAGACTCGGATTCTATATGGACAGGGGCAGGACTTTCATGAGGGTTGTAGGGTTAGTATCAATGGCAAGGCAATTCATGAGTCGAGTGGTACCTGTAGCTACGCCACCCGTTTGGCGCCACTGTAGTGAGGAGTGAGACCATCTGAGCGAGACGCGGTATGAAACCTTCCATAGATGACTAACTAACTTTCCACCCTCAAACGTTAAATCCCATAAACCGCCCCTAAACCCTAAACCCTGCTGGCCTTGCTGGCCTCTCCCTGCCCAGGTGATCACGAAGATTGCCGCCTCGCTCTTCGCAGGTGCCATTCTCTTCGAGGTGATGTTGGGCGTGTCGATGTGGACCAGCGTACCCTTCATCCTGCTGCCCCTCGGATCATCTCTAGCTGAGCTCTAGGGTTAGGGTTTGGGGAGTTGGGGTTAGGGTTTAGGGTCTAGGGTTGACGGTTTAGGGTCCAGAGTTCAAGCAGTTCACATAGGCCCGCTTTGGTCGACCCATGGTCTTCAGTACTTATACATCTTGGTGAGTGGATATGTACTGTAGGGTGTCCTTCTGCAGATGCCAATACTAAAGATCCTACACCTCATGTCAGCTTTTTGAGCCCGATAGACAGAAAGTCTTCAGTTCAGCGGACTCCACAAGCATGTCGCTGCAGCTTCAAGTGGTGAGTTTCCCCCCATATCCAAAGCAACATTCTGTCTGACGTCAATAAGGCAGGACTAGGGCTTGGGGAGCCATTCTTGTTTTGGCGTCTTCTGTCCGGGTAGCTGTGAATCGAATCCGGCAAATCCTGCAAAAGGTTCACGGCAATCTATGCTGCCTCCGGCGGCTTGCGTGCAGTGATGTGCCTTGGTGTTGACACCGCGGCTAAGTGTTCGGTTCTGGATTTGTTAGAGAACTCGAGATGAGAGATGCCTCTTCCGAATCTTTAAGACGTTGGAAGAAGTTGCTGGCACCTGCTGCTGCTATAAAGACAAAGCATGTTGCAGTGCCCACGCTCTGTGTGCGGCAAGGCTCACATTGACATGGAATGGTGCTACTGAAACAATCGCTTGGGCCTCAAGCCTCTGCGCCATTAGTAAATGAGTTGCGGAACCTCGGAAGGTACACCGATGTGGGGCAGGCCACCATTTTCATCATTGGCGGCTTCATTGGCATGATCGTGGCCTTCAGCAAGATAGGCCCGAGAGTCCTGAATCCAGCAGAGATGGACTTCTATCTTGGGACGCAACTAGCCTTCACATTCGACAATGGCATGCTTCATATCGCCACAATCATACGCCCTATCTTTTCTTTTATTAGGTGCTGTGGACCAGAAACCTCTGTGAGGGTCTAGTCGGTCCGCTAGCCGAACCCTACTTCCTACAAGGCCCAATAGTACCCCGCCCCATGTCCCTCGGTTTCGGCCAGGGGTCCCCTGATCATCCTTATCGATCTACTTGAACAGAACGCGCCCCTTTTTTCTCCTAAAATGCTGCGGGGTCCTAAGCCATATACGTATATGCACATATATATATATACATATATATATATATATATAGATATAAATATGAATATAAGTATAAATAAAAATAAACAAATACATAAATAAATAACTATATATATATGTATATGTACACATATTGCTGTGTCCCAAAAGCACTGGAGTTGGGCTTTTGGGTGCCGTACCCTTGAGATTCAATATTTGGAGACCGGGGCTGACGGCTACGCACATGTCGCGAAGCGTCGTCACCGAAACCAAAATAACCAAAGCAGAAACCGCAGTGCCTGGTAAAGCCGAAGTGTGGAGGTGGTTTCGCCGGCCTCGCCGAGACCATGGAGAAGAACGATGCTTGCAGAGGGTCCTACGTTTGGGTGAGTTTGAGGGGGGGGTTTAGGGTTTTGGAGGGCCTAGCTGAAGGAATGGTGCCTGGGGCATCTTATGGCTCTGCAACCCGCTGCTGCGCCCTATTGGCTCCAGCGCATCAACGCCCGACACTTCCTAAGCAAACAGGGACTTGGGCCAACAAAGCCAGCAACCCCAAAACCCCCAAAGTGAGCCCAAGGGCCTGGGCCAAAAAACGCCCGAAACCACGAAAGCCCAGCCCTCGACAATCAAGAAAATCTTGGACACCCTTCAAACCCATTCACTCTACATCACCCCAAAATCTCAAGACCCCAATATTTCCCAAGCCGTAAACCACCCAATGCCATCCAAAACCATAAACCCTTACACCCTTAATCAGACAAAACACCAAACCCTGAGCCCTCAACCCTCTCAACACTACTAATCCTAAACCTGCAAACCCTAGACAGCCATGCAAACCCCAAAGCCTCCAAAAGCCCCCAAAGGTCTCTGCAAAAAGCCCCCGGGCGCCCCTGAACCCTAAGCCCTAAACCCTGAACCCCAAACCCTAAACCCTAAACCCTAAACTCCAAGGACTTGGGCTACATGCTCACCACCCTTCGGCCCCCGTCGGACCGGGAGTTCCCTTGGACAGGCGCGCTTTTTTTTTGATTAACGGGTTTATGGGGTGTAGGCGGGGGGTTTTAAGGGTTTAGGGTTATAGAGTTCAGGGTTTAGGGTTTCGGGTTTTTCGGGTTCAAGGTGCAGGGTTTAGGATTTAGGGTTCAGGATTTCGGGTCAAGAGGGTTTCGGGTATAGAGTTTAGGTGTTTAGGTTAAGGGTGCAGGGTTTCTCGGGTTGAGCCTGTAAGCCCTCAACCAAGCCCCTGAATCCCAACCACCCCCCCCCCCCTCCACCGCCAGAAAAAAGGAGAAAGAAAGAAAGCTAGTCCTCTGGGTGTTAGTTCTTCTGACTCAGAGTCGAGACAAGAATATCAAAAGAAATGATGGCATTACAAATGTCACTACAATGACGAACACAAACTGAGCCTTAGCAAAAACCACCATAGCGCTGTCCAGGCATGCTCATCGGCCAACCCTTGGCCTCGATGTGGCCACTGGGCTGGGGAGTACTCTTACCATGAGTTCTGTTGGGTTCTGCCAAGTTAGTTCGTCGCAGTTGGTTTTCTTCCTATCTCCTTAGGGAGGAGCTACTCTTTAATGATCGCTGTGTGTAGTTCTTCGTGGGGTTCAGGGTTCCAAACACTGTGAGTTGAGATGTTTGGGAGGTCGGAGGGCTTCAGGGATTCAACTTCAGAGACCGAAGCCCATGTTTTGCAGGCTGCTGCTACCTAAGAATCCCATTTGGGTTCCACGGTCCTGGCCCACGCAAATAAGTTTCAAGACGTTGCGGGTTCTGAAGCCAGGCATGTGTGGGGCTCTGAGGAGGGAACCATAGTTTCAATTTGATGTGATTTTAAAACTTGTTTGGGAAACTTATGACCCTACTCACAACTACCTGCGAAGCTTCAGGTATGGGTTGTTTGCCCGCTGCAAGGAGCGGCCCTCCATAGATCGCTCGTTGTTTGGGGTTTAGGGCCCACCTCAACCTCATGGCTTCCAAACTCTAAATCCTAAGCCTTAAACCCTAAACCCATACTCTGAACTTAATCCCTAAAGCTTAGAGTCCACAAGCACTCAAGCCCTGTCATCCCTTAAACCCCTCAAACTCATAAAGCCCCGGAGGCCCCAACAGCCCCAATCCCCCCACAAAAGGTACTGGTGCGTGGACTTCACCCTAAACCCTAAACCCCAAATCCTAAACCCTAAACCCTAAACCCTAAACTCTACACCCCAAAAAGCCCCCCACAAAAGGTACTGGTGCGTGGACCAGACCATGGTCCAGCGCGTGCTGAGCGCCAAAGGCGTGCAGGACGCCCGGAAGGGCTGCGTTCTGGCAGGCCAGCGGCTCTCTCTAGGGACCCAGAGTCGGCCCTTATTCCGTTTTGTTAGGGTTTAGGGTTTAGGGTTTAGGGTTTAGGGTTTAGGGTTTAGGGTTTAGGGTTTAGGGTTTAGGGTTTAGGGTAAGCCGGGACCCAGAGCAGGCTCTTATTCCCTGGTTTTGGGGGGCTTAGGTTCTCTTGTAAGCCCCTTGCAAGCCAAAGAGCACCCTTTTTTCATATTCCTCGGGTTACTCTTGGGTCTAGCTTTTGTGTGTCCCCTCTTGAGCTCTAGGATTCATCAAGTTTTAGGGGTTAAGTGTTTAGGTGCCGAGTAGGTCACCTTGAATCCCGTTTTTGTGTATGAAACGTTCGCCCCCCCCCCCCCCCTAGAAACCAAAATGTAACCTATGTGCTTTCCTGGACAAGTCAGGTCCCAAGTTAACTGCTTTTGGGAGGTGTATGTGGCTTTGACTGCTTCTTGCGTGGGTTTGAGAACTGGAGCAAGTGGGGGCTTGAGCATTTTTGCCTGGAGTGCTTTTCAGACAGTACTTCAAGGCATGTAGAGTTTAGGGTTAGGGTTTAGGGTTTGGGTTTAGGCCGCCAACCCGAAGCCTTGAATTGCAGGCTTGTAGGCCGAAGCCCAGTGGTGACATCCTGAACGCAGAGTACCCGCCCAACCCCTCAGTCCCTCCAACAATCATCGGCTTAGTTTAGAAGTGTTGCCTCGGGAGGCTATCTCAAAATACTGCCTCCGTTCCTCATGGTGCCCCTCGGCCACAAGGATACTTCCTTTTGAGTTGGAGGGCTGGAATCGTGCATGGATAGTTTTCAGTGGGGTCGCAAATGCCCCTAACAAGGTGTACGCCAATTAGGCCAACCATAGCTACGACTTCGAACCCCACGTATCCATGACATCCACGTAAAGACCATAGACGCGCTTAATCCCTGTAAACCCCATGGTCGCCCCCTTACACACCCAGTGTGCCAAGGTTTCCCGGCCTCATCGCCCGCGCGTTCTTTGCCGAGTGCCAGCGCATCTTGGCCCTATGTGCTGACTGGTGGCTAGCAGGGAATGAATAAAAGACAGGTGAACTGCTCTATGTGCTAGAATCACTCTTATCCTCGTTTTCACCTTGAAGTGTTGTGATTATTAGTCATTCGTGGGCTTCCTCTAGGCTTACCACACGGGGGGGTTGGGTGTGATTTCATGGACTTCAGGGTTCAGAGTTGGCGTCCTTGGGGTTCAGCTGTCTGTTCAGGCCTAGGGTTCACGTCTATATCCGAAAGGCGCGGGGCACGCTGACACTTCAAAGCCTCAACAGTTCTGTGCAAGCTGTGAGGTCGTAGGTTTTTTGTTCGGGACTCGGGGCTATGTGGCTCGGGTGTGGAGTCTGGCTTGCCTCTTCTGTTATCTCCTAAAACCCTGGAAGCTCGAAAATGAATCTGTGGAGTGGCCTCTTTGAGGGTCCTGACGGTCCCTCCAGGAACTATGAGGCCCTAAACAGGACTTGGTCCCTAAACCCTAAACCCTAAACCCTAAACCCTAAAGTGATAGGCCCTTCAATGAGGCACGGACGGACAGCTGTACAGCGACTGGTGTGGCACCGATCTGGGTGACGGCAATGAGGCCGGGGTTTAGGGTTTAGGGTTTAGGGTAGAGCGTTCAAGATTTTGGGTGCGTGCGTGTATGTCTTTGTGTGTGGAAATGCGCAGACCAACCAAAAAAGGAATCCTCCAGGGTCTCTCCTGCACAAGCACACGTAGATGGGAGGCGATCTCATAAGGAACCAGGGATGCGACACTTCTCGAGCCAAACCTAAAGCAACGGTGCCTTTGTGGTACGTTCGGTCCTGGAACTTCAGAGCATGGGCCGTCCCACACCTGATTGGAAGAGTTCTTTCCAAGATTTCTTACCACCCAAGCCCTCAACCCTCCACTCCGCAAATGGGGTACATCCTGGCCTTGCCAGTCCAGCAAAGCCTATCCGCTTCTGATCGCCAAGATGTTCCCAGACGGATTGCGAGGTGCCGGAGCCCAGTCGAGATCTGGAGACAGTGAGAGAGAGAGAGAGAGAGAGAGAGAGAGAGAGGGAGAGGGAGAGAGAGAGAGAGAGGACGAGAACAAACACGAACGAGCAAAATTGACGAGAGAGAGAGGGAGGGCATTCCTTGGCAGCTTTACTTCAGGTTGTTTCACGATCAGGGCTGCAGCGCCCTCAAAAACATTCTGCGGCGTCTCACCCAACCTCCAAACCTTCCTGCGCTTGACAAGCAGGATAGAGTGAATCCGAAGTTGGCCGAGACCGTAAACGCTTTCCGCCCACCCCTTGTATACCCCTCCCGAACCCCTACAGACTTAACCCCCCCGCCTCCCAGCCCATGGGAAGAGCAAGGCCTCCTCATCGTCAGCATGGTCTTGGCCATGATGTCCAGCCTGGATTCGGTGCCCTGGCTGGTGTTGCTGGATCAAGCGTAGGAGTTGCAGGGCCTCATTCAAGGCCGTGCTCTGCTAATCGGGTTTAGGGTTTATAGGGCTTGGCGTTGAGGGTTTAGGGTTTAGGGTTTAGGGTTTAGGGTTTAGGGTTTAGGGTTTAGGGGCCTGACAGCATGCCAGAGAGTAGCCTACACCCGAATCCAGCGAGATCTTTTCGGGGAAGTGCCGTGTTGGGTGGGCGGGCTCCCGATGCAGCAAAGCCTTACGGTATGTATAGGGTCTACATGAGCTTTGCTTGTCTATGGATGCGAATATGAGATGTTTCCTCAGCATTCAGGCAAGTCGCAAGCGCTGCTGAGTGTGCCACGTGCTGAAATTGCACGTGGCAACGTACTAAACCCTAAACCCTAGTCCCAAACCCTAAACCCTAATCCCCAAACCCTAAACCCTATAAACCATAGAACCTAAACCCTACTGTCACAGGTGTTCAACTGCCTGTCGACTGTCTTCTCCTACGACATCTACAAGCGCTTCCTGCACCCAGAGGCGAGCCCGCCATGGAGTCGATGGAGCCATCGGAGCCCTATTGAAGAGGGTTAGGGTTTTGGGTTTTGGGTTTCATCAAAATTTGATGAACCCCTAAACCCCTAAACCCCTAAACCCCTAAACCCCTAAACCCCTAAACCCCTAAACCCCTAAATCCCTAAACCCCTAAACCCCTAAACCCCTAAACCCCTAAGTCCCTAAGCCCCTAAGCCCCAAGCACGAACCCAACCCCAAGCCCGAAGCCCCTGCTTGAAAAGTGCGCGTGAGAGTGCGCAGTTTCGGTTCTATTAGGGTGTGCAGGGAAGGCTCCGGGTTTCAGGCGATTTGAGCCTGAAACCTGAAGCCCCCAGACCCAGGCCCCAAGCCTAACCTCAACACCCTAAGCCCGAAACCCTAGATTCCCAAGCCCGTTAAACCTAAAAGGCGAAAACCCCAGACAACTCCAAATGAGCTCCAAACCCCAGAGCCCTAAAAACCCTAAAACCAACCCAAAACAAACACCACAGGGTGGGAAAGGGGATACCATGGTAGAGGCCCAACAAAGCATTGAGCAGCCTGAACACGCGACCCCCTCCAAACATCTTGGGGGGATCAACCTTCAACCCGTTGATCCCTTAGCCCCGTGAACTTGGTAAGCCTAAAAACAACCCAACCCCCCCCCCCCCCCCCCAAACCCTAAACCCGAAACCCCCAAACCGAAAGCAGCACACCGAAAGCCTAAAACCTAAACCCCAAACCCTAAACCCTAAACCCGAAACCCTAAACCCTAAACCCTAAACACCCAAACCGAAAGCAGGCTTCTCGCCAACGCCAAGTCTGGGTTGGCCAGCTTGCAGCTTGAATCGGGTTTAGGGTTTAGGGTTTAGGGTTTAGGGTTTAGGGTTTAGGGTTTAGGGTTTAGGGTTTAGGGTTTAGGGTTTAGGGTTTAGGGTTTAGGGTTTAGGGTTTAGGGTTTAGGGCTTCAAGACTGCGGCTTGAGGTTTTCTAGGGCTTGTACCTAGATTCCAAGGTTGTAGCCTTGGGTCTTGGGGATCCGTTAAGGTAGCATAAGGGCCATGCTAGGAGTCTACAAAGGGGAACCTTTGGGGTACAACCTTAAAAGGACGAGTCTTAATCCCTTGACCAGGCCAAGTTGCTCCAGAAAAGATGGGAACAACAAGACATAGCCTCAGTTGAGGTAGGCATAGCCCCTGGTCAAGTTTTGTTTCTCGGAAGGGATTGATTTCAGGGTTTAGCGTTCCGGGCCTAAAGGGCGTGTACTCATAGCGAGCTTGTTGGTAAACAAAAAGACATGGCGAATCCATGTTACTAGTCGTAGTACAGGTACAAGCAACCCAAACAGTTTTTTTTCAGAGCTCAGGGTTTATCGGGGGGTTGGTGCTTGGGGGCTTTTAGGGTTCAACTTCATCTTGAAGTGGAGAAAACCTATACAGCCCTTCAAAGAAAACCTTAGCAAGCCCTGCAAAGCGCCCTACAAAGCCCTGAAACCAGAAGCCTAAAACTTCCGAAGGTCACTGGTGTCGCTGCCTTGTGCGGCCTCGCCTGGCTTCCCATGATCGCCAGCAGCGCCAACGGACCTTATGGGTTTAGGGTCTATAGGGGGTTTAGGGTTTAGAGTTTAGGGTTTAGGGGATTGAGGGGGTTACGCCCCATAGCCTGAAGCAGCGGAACTCACAAAGGGTGGAGGAGGGGTGTAGGTTAAGGAATTAGATGTGTGGGCTGGCGCATCGCAGGACTGTACCTGACCACGCAGAGTGCCCAGACCCACATGCATCTCGGCCGACTGCATCTCAGCTCGGCTGTCTTCCAAGCTTGAGGGTTTAGGGTTTAGGGTGGGTCTGCGGGTCTTTGGCTGTATAGGGCCGGGTTTTCCTTCCCGACAATCGCACGGACACGCGTGCATTGTCGAATGTAAGCAAAAAATTTGGCCTTTCTGCATCCTACGAATATTTACAATCCTACCTGCCCAACACAACCTTTCCCCGCACCCCAGAAGCACCGAACAAGGACACTTCGACAACAGCGACTCCGCAACCATTTCGCTAATATCCCACGGCGAGCCAGACATTTGCCCAAGAAGGTCTCCGACCCTCGTAGCGGTCTTCCTGGTCGGGCTGTTCTGGCCCAGGGCAAACGGAGCAGGCCGGGAGGATTAGGGCTTACTAGGGCAGCTTGGGTTTCTTTTGGGGCTTTAGGGGCTCTTGGCTTTTTTTAGGACATATAACTTCCAAGCCAAGGGTAGCTAGGTTCTCTTGTTTGCTTTGGGGCTTACTCGGGGGTTTTAGGAGTATAAACTTGTGAACCAAAGCCCAGCCCTATAGGGTTCAGGGTTAGGGTTGAAAAGGTCACGCTAGGGACTCTAGGTTCATATTTGGGGGGGGAGGGATTCAGGGTTTAATTCGGGGGTTAAAACCCTAAACATGGCATGTTCCCCCACTATACTGACAGCACTTCATAGGGATGATACTTCCCCCCATTAGAATCTCATTAAGGACTGTTTGTGTACAGGGGGACATCCCAACCCTGAACCCTAAACCCTCAGCCCTCAAGAAAAGGCGCGCTGGCGGGCATGATCGTGGGCTTCGCCGCCGGCATCGCTCGGTGCAGCTGGCACGCAGTTCTTGGAGCTTAGGTTGGGATGTTCCCCCTTATACTAACAGTCCTTAATAGGGATTATAACAAGGGGGTTGCTATAATCCCTATGAAGGATTGTTAGTATAAGGGGGGACGGGGATTGAAGTCGCGTTTATTGGAGGATGTCTTGGAGCTTTAGATGCTTCTTCTTAGTTTTGTTCAGGTTGCGTTCTTTTTTGAGGGTGTCAGTAGGGTTCGGTCTTAGGCAGGGTTGAGGGCTTCATCAGGTCTTTGGGGTTTAATTGGGGGGAAGGGGAGGGGGGAGGTTAAACCCCAACTGAACTTCAAAAAACTCTGTACATTCATCGTAAAGGCCTACAGCTTATAAACCCCAAAAACCCACACACGCACACACACCTTCTGGGATCAATTCGGCGAACACAGCTGTCGTTCGAAGTTCGGCTTCTCCAGGGTTTAGGGTCTTATGTAGGGTTTGGGGCAAGGTTTAGAGTGTTCAGGGTGCACAAGGCGCAGAGGTGCTGAGGGTTCGGGGTTTGGGGTGGAGGGTTTTGTGGGGTTTGGGTCGGCCATAAGATTTCGTGTGACGTCGTGATGGGGCTTGATTAGACACATGCTGCTGCCACCAAAGCCCATCGAGTTGCTGGAACTTCTACTTACTTGCGAGGGCGCACATCTTTTTGACAGGGCAGTAGGATTACGACGTGAGGCCCTGACCCCCACCCCCTACACCGCCTACACCCCCAACCCCCAACGACGTGCGGCCCTGACCCTAAAACCCTGAACCCGAGCATGTCGCTGGCGATCCAGTAGCCTGGGAAGAACCGGAGACTGTGGGTTTAGGGTTTAGGGTTTAGGGTTTAGGGTTTAGGGTTCAGGGTGTGCAGCCAGGTTTGTGGCAAGTCGCATGGCCACGTGCGACGAGCACGACACATACAGCATTTCTTGCACCTGGGCCCTCTGCGTCCGAGGGTTTGTTTGGTTTTAGGGTTTGAGGTGTAGAAGTGGTAGCTCTCTTCTTTCGTCATTTTTTGTTGGGGGTGGGGGGTGGGGGTGGGGGATGGGTCATGTTATGCTGTTCTACTTGTACAGAGATTATAGAATTAGTCGTTCAGGGCCTCGGCTCTCCAGCATCGTTGGCTATGTGGAGCTTAGTCGCCGGCTATGTTTACCCTCACTACCACTCGTCGTGTCAGATGCTTTCTTGGCAGGTCTGAGTGTTAGGAGGCATGACTATTTGGCTTGGAACAGGCTCCTGGGGTCACCCCGCGACATGACGATTTCTATATTTTACCAGTTTAAGAGTTACTATTGTTAGTGGGTTGGGTCCCAATCACCTTCTTTTCTAGCAATACTCCTTCATGAAGGTGTATCGGAGCCTTGGGGAAACCAGCCCCTGAACCCTAAACCCTAAACCCTAAACCCTAAACCCTAAACCCTAAACCCTAAACCCTAAACCCTAAACCCTAAACCCTAAACCCTAAACCTAGGCATGCAGTTCAACCACATGGCCCTGATTCTCTTTGCCGCGCCCTGAGTCGCGGGTTCTTGCTTGGGGTTTGTTGCTAGAGGCTTGAGCGCCTGCTTGAGGATTTAGGGGGGTTTCGGGTTTAGGGTTTCAGGTTTCAGGTTAGTTTAGGGTTTAGGGTTTAGGGTCAAGTTGATTTTTGGCTGGTTAGGGTTAGGGTTCAGGGTTGCTCCGCAAAAGTGCGAGCCGAGAATGGCGCAGCTCACTATGTCTTGGAACTACACGCTTCAGAAACAAGGTCAGGTTTAGGGGTTTGGGGTTTAGGGTGTAGGGTTTAGGGATGAGGGTGCCTGAAGCCATGAAGAGACTCTTTCACCAAACCCTAGATCCCGAAACCACTCCCTCTAAGCCCCCAAACCCTTGATCCTCCACGTCCCCGAAACATCCTAAGACCCTGAGAAAAAAACCGCGATACCCTAAACGCTAAACCCTAAACCCCCAAGCACCTGAAGCCTTGTCAAGGCCCTGGCCGCCGTCGTCACCATCGCGGTGAGTCTGGTCACTCAGCCTCCCGCGCCGAGCCAGCTGCAAGGGACCACGTGGTGGAGGCACGCGGCCGGGGGTCTACGTCTCAAGGTTTATGGGAGGCATAGATATACTTTTTGGGGTTTAGGGTTTAGGGTTTATATAGATCTGTTGAAGGTGTGCCCGATCTGTTTTTGAATTCTTTTTTTAGAAGACATCGGTTTTGACGGTTCATCGCCAAAACAGCAGGGTGTGAATTTTGGGCTTACGATTGGGTTTTATCGGTTCTTGTTAAGGAACTTAATTGCTTAATCTACGACAAGAAGGGCAGTGTACAATTTGTCCATTCATATCTTCAGGCCCTAAACCGATACGCCCTTTACAAGCCCCATAATCTCCTAATCCTTATATTCCCTACAAGCCCTGAAAACCCTTTATAAACCCTAAACTTAAACGCGCCTATCAAGCCTTTATAGCCCTCAAACCCTATACAAGCCCTACAAAGCCTAAACTTAGACCCTAAACCCTCTAAGCCTATGAAACCTTGAAAGCCCCACAAAGCCCTATGCCCAAGTTCAGGTCTGCGGATGAAGACGTCAAGACAGAGGCGCCACATCTCACGGGGCAGCTTAGGTCTTAGGGCCCCAAGCCCCGGAAACCTAAACCCTTCAAACCCGAAACCTCCAACCCCAGCGGTCTTTGTTCTTTGTTGGGGGGGGGGGGTGGAGTTGGGTGGAGTTACCCCTGTTTCAGGGCTTCAAGCTGCTTGCAGTTGAGTCAAGGGAAGCTGACCCCGGGCCCATGATTCGATCCAGGATTTGATGTTTAGGGTTTAGGGTTTAGGGCTTCAGGAAGCAGGGTTTAAGCTTTAGGGTTGAGTCTGCTAGGGTTTCAAAACCCTGCCACATCCACAACACATTACAACCCTAAATCCCAACCCCTTATTGACCCTTTAACCCTACATCCTAAGCTCTGTTCAGGCCCTCAACCAAAGCCACAAGTTCATAAATTGGAGGCTCCGAAGCCCTTCAACACTCAAATGCAAGCCTAAACTCTGAGCCTTAAACCGCCAGAAGGTTCAGGGTTTATTGGGCATAGGTTCATTATGTGTTTTAGGGTCTTGTTTTTCTAGGGTAACACTCTAGGGATTTAGGCCAAAGAAGCAGGCGAGCCACCCAGCTAGCCTCGGTACTCTCGTGGCAGCCGGCCTTCTGCTGGCCACGATGACTGGTGCGCCGGCGCGTTTTGAAGGGGTTCCAGGGTTTTGGGGCTTTTCGGGTCCGGGTTCCAGACTTCAAGGACACCCGAAACCATCAATCCTACACCCTAAACCCTAAACCCTAAACCCTACACCCTAAACCCTACACCCTAAACCCTAAACCCTAAACCCTAAACCCTACACAACTCGATACTTTCTGCTGATGTAAGAGGTTTTCTTGAAAGACCCCGGCATGCGCTTTTGGCGAGCTTAGTCGGCAGTGCGCTTTAGGCCCTGAACACCAAAACCCCTAAACCCGGTTTGGGGTTTAGGGTTAGGGTTTAGGGTTTAGGGTTTAGGGTTTAGGGTTTAGGGTTTAGGGTTAGGGTTCAGGATCTAGGGTTTAAAGACCCCTACGTGATTTTCCTGGGGTCTTCTAAGCAGCGGTTTCATGGTTTCCTGTGTTCATCCTGACGGTCTTTCCGGCGGCTTGTTGGGTCAAGGGATTTAGTATTTATTGTTTAGGTTCTTAGGGTTTAGGGTTTACGGCTTAGGGTTTAATTCGGGTTTGGGGTTTGGGGTTTAGGGTTTAGGGTTATAGCATGCAACTGGCATAGTGAAACCTCCTAAAGCGGACCACCATCTAGAAGATTTGAGCCATGATGCGCCTCTGCTTGCGGATCACGCTCTGCGTGCTGCTCCTACCCCTCACCTTCCTTGCCTACCTTGTGGCGCCCTTCTTCTTCTTGAGGTACGACCGGCCCCTTTGGGGAAGCTACCTGCGGGATGGGTTCTTGGGTCGATGGGACGGCCGGAGGCCACTGAAGTTCCTGTTTCTGACCTGGGGAAGCCGCGGTGATCTCCAGCCGAACGTTGCCTTGGGCCTGGAGCTTGCCAGAAGAGGTCACAAGGTCACTGTCATGGGCTCCGCAGACTATTCTGAGATGGTGGTACGTCACGCTGAGCTGAAGTTCGAGCTCTTCGACGACCCATATTTGTGGCAACTTGCCGTGGCTTTCGGGAGCTCGAAGGGTGACGATTTCCTGAGCCTGGTGTCTGGCTACATTCAGAATGGGAGTGCGGCGCAGATTCAGCAATACATGCGGGCGGGCCGCGAAGCGGATGTTCTGTTCGGAAACCACGCCGCCATGATGATGCTTCAGCATGTCACAGTGGCAGAAGCTCTGAACAAGCCCCTGCTGCCGGGCATTATTGTTTTGGAAGCTCGTCTTGCGCTGTTGCTGGGATATCTGGGCCCTATGTGAACTTAAAACCTCAAACCCCCTGGGTCCGAAAGACCTGGAGGAACCCACTAAGTACTTAACTACTAAACCCTTGCCACCCCATCCTTAACCCTAACCGCCCCTAAACGAGGTTCCTGCTGACCCACGACCTTACTCTGCCCACTGCAGACTACTCCTTCAACCCGTCTGAAAGCCGCGTTACGGACTATGGAAACGTGGCCACGCGCTCAGATCGATGGCTCCACAACCACCCTCCTCCTCCTCCTCCTCCTCCTCCCGCCGCAAAAGCACTTGAAATTCACAAGCCCTTACACTGCCATACACCTCACATCCCAGAAGTCCGAACTTGCCAAATGCCCTTGAGGCCCAAAGCCCTAGGGATTTTGGTTCAGGGTCAGCATCCAACTCTAAACCCTGTACCGTGTTAATCCCCAAACACCACACCCTCTGCTGGCTAAACCTTTCAACCATCTGCGGAATTTATGGACAGCGCCAAGTTTGCCTATACCTATATGAGGAAGGCGAACTTTGAAACTTGTTCCAAATTTGGTGCCCAAACTACGACCTTCCCAGGTCAACATGCTGAACCACCGACTCTTTAGCTTGCTTTTGGGGGCGGTCACCACTGGACCTGGCTCAGAGATTCGCAAGCTGAGGTGGCAAGGGCTGAGTGATGCAGAGGGTTTATAGGGTTTAGGTTGAAAGCTTTTTCATGTAAGGTAAGCCCTCACTGCCCCCTGAACGCTGAAACCCCTCAGGAGCCTCTTAAGGAAGACGGAAGCCCTCAACCTTCCGAACACATCGAGGCCCTAAGCCCTAAGCCCTAAACCATAAACCCGAAACCCTAAACCCTAAACCCTGAACCTTCCTAACCCCCTCCGTGAGGCAGTCGTTAGGCTTGGACACTTCTTGGCCATTCCTAGAGCTGCTGCATCCTCTGCACCTGGCCGAATTCCCGCGCTCCTGGTCGCAGAAGAACTTAACTTTGCGCTTGCAGGCCTTATAGCGTGCTAGGCCTTAGAGTGCTCGAAGCCCTAGACACCCTAAAGCTCTATGTCCCAACACCCTACAAACCCTAAACCATAAAAAATCCTATGACCCCAAGCCCTATAGACCATATAAACCCAAAAACCCTCCACACCATAAACCCTAAGCCATGTAAACCCTACAAATCTGTACATCAAACGACCTTGCGAAGTTCCAAGGATCGTGTGGACCGCCGACCCATTCCTGTGGAAGCCCGGCAGGCCAATGCCTTCTCGTTTTTTGTCTTGGGAGGGTTCTGGGAGGGTTTTGGGGTGTTTTTTTTTTTGGGGGGGGGGGGGGGGGGTTGGGAGGGTTTTGGGAGGGTTTTGGGGCGGTTTAGGATTTAGGGTTCAGGTTTTAGGGTTTAAAGTTTAGGGTAACCCTAAACCCTAAACCCTAAATCTTAACCACCTGCCTCAGGGATCACCCACAGCACTGGGTCGCCACTGGCTTCCTCACCACGGATGCCAAAGCTGAGGGGGAGAACCAGGCTCTCGAGGACCGCTTTTGGGGTTTAGGGGTTTTGGGGTTTTGGGGTGTTGGGTTTTGGGGTTTGGGGTGTTGGGTTTTGGGGTGTAGGGTTTAGGGGTTTGGGGTTAGGGTTTGGGCTTTCGGGTTTAGGGGGTCATGTCTCAATTGGTGTCCATGTGAAGACACCTCGCCCAGGGCTGTCCCTGTAGGGCTATGGGTTCAGGCTTAGGGCTCTTCTGGTTCTTTAGAGTTGAGGTTTGAGGGCTCCCCTAAACCCTAAACCCTACCTGGAACCCCGACAACCCAATTATTTTTGGCCGTTGGGTTTTTTACGGGTTTTTACGGGCGTTTAGGGGGAATTACGGGCGTTTAGGAAATTTATGGGCGTTCTGCTTTGGGCTCTTGAAATTACGGATAATTATGGGCGTTTAGTGGTTTGTGAGGATTGGTGCAGAATTATGGGCGTTTAGGGGTTTTATGGGCGTTTAGGGGTTTCCGGGTTCATCCAAACAAACAGGGCTGAATATGCCAAAAACAACAAGCCCTGAGCCCCTCAAAACCTTATCATCCCAAAGCCCTATATAAGCCCTTCACCCGAAGCCTGCAGGTATTTTGCTAACCCAAGCTTCCTAAAAGGCCCCTGGGACCCCACCCTGCTCAAAACCTCAAGCATTTTGGGACACCATTTTGGCCATTGAGGTTTTTTGGGGATTTGCTTTGAAAGGTTTTTTTGGAATTTCCTGGGCCGGCCTGGCCAGACAGCCTGCAGGTTTTGTAGGGTTTTATAGGGTGTTAGGGTTCTTGCAAGGGTTTTAGGCTTCTAGGGTTTTAAGGCCTTTTTGGGTTTAGGGCTTGATGGGCTTAGGGTTTGAGGGCTTTAGAGTTTAGGGGTCCTCTGGATTGTAGGTCAAGCTTCAGTTTCAGGGGTTTGGGGATTTCAGGCGGCTTTCCGTAGATTTCAGGGGTTTGCCGTAGATTTCGGGTTTTTCGTAGGGAGTTCACAGCTTTCCGTGGAATTATGGGTTCTATGTTTCGAGGGGTGGGCTGCATGAGTTGGACCTGAAGGTTTTTTCAAGGCATCACAGAGCCCAAAGCCTTTCCGTGACCTTTCCGCGCCAGTCCCAATTATGGATCGTTACCGTTTTTTAGCGGTTTTTTATAGGCTTTTTTATGCGTGGATTCTTTCCGTAGGGGCCCACGGAAACAGGGGGCTTTCCGTAGACTTCAGGGGGTTTTCCGTAGATTTCGTGTTTACCGTAGGGAGTTCACAGCTTTCCGTGGAATTATGGGTTCTATGTTTCGAAGGGTGGGCTGAGCTGTTGGATCTGAGAGTTTTTCAAGGCATCACAGAGCCTTCCGCGCCAGTCCCAATTATGGATTTTTACGGTTTTTTACGGTTTTTTACGGTTTTTACGGCTTTTTTTACGGTTTTTTATGGGCGTTTTTGCGTGGATTCTTTCCGTAAGGGCCCACGGAAACCCCACGGAAAGCCTAAATCAACAAGTTTACGGGCGAATTACGGGTTTTTACGGGCGTTTAATAAAGATTACGGGCGTCTGGGCTGCTATTGCCGATCCTAGCGATCCTAGCAGCTGGAAAAAACAGTCCAACTTCGCAACTGTCGTGGCAAGGGAACGAAAAATGAGGTTAACAAATCCGGTCCAATTCAACCCACACCTATACCCCAAACCCCTCGGAAGTCCTGGCTGGAGCTTATATGGTGAATAGGGCTTATATGGGTTTGTCTACAGGGTCTCCTCATATACGGTCGTGTGGCAGAACCGTTATACCCCAACCCCACCCCAACCTATAAACCCTGCAAGTCCTGAGGCTTAGGGTCTGGGGTTTGTTTCGTCTTCTCATAATAAGTGTCGCTTGTGCTTGGGGGTCGGCAGGGTTGGTGTTAAAGACTCAGAATAACCTATATTGTTGTGCTATACAGGGCTTCGAGAAAGGTTGGCTGAGGCTTAGGGTCTCTGGGGTCCGCTGTTATCAAGTCTCCTGATAAGTGTCGCTTGGGCAGGTCCATATATCGTTGGTCTATACAGGGCTTCGGGAAAGGTTTGAGAAGGATTGTGGGTCGGATTTTACAGTTGGGTTCGCCGGAGCATTCCTGTGTTCCCTCTCTAAACCCCTAAACCCTTCAACCTTGCAGGAGCTGGAAGGGGACAGGGTTCAGGCTTCACTATAAGCTTGGTGCTTGGTGGGTTGTATTGGTACATTTTATTATGCCGAATTCTCATTTCCCGGATTTTGCAAGTACGGGCGTTTCCGGTAAAATCCTAATTCTCGCCGATCTCGGAATTACGGGCGTTTCCCGTAAAATCCTAATCCTCCCCGGTCTCGGAATTACGGGCGTTTCCCGTAAAATCCTAATCCTCCCCGAGCTCGGAATTACGGGCGTTTCCCGAATTACGGGCGTTTGTTTTTTTTACGGGCGTTTCCTAAAAAACCCGGTTTTTTCCAAACAACCAAAAGTAATAGGGTCTTTTGGAGACCCAGGTAAACCCTAAACCCTAAACCCTAGTAGGATTCGAGGTGACATAGAGGTTTCGGCTCTGGCGGCGCCGGGGGGGGGGGGGGGGGGGGGGGGGGGGGGCGGTGAAAGTCTGGACTTAAGTCTGGATTTCGCGTTTCAAGCTTGGGCTTCAAAGGCTTATGCACTCCTCCCGAAGCGAACCATCCTCCCTTAGCCTCAAACACCCGTTTAGATCCTAAGCTGTTCAACTCCGGAGCCTGCAAGCTACACCCACAACCCTAAACGCCCTTAACCTTAAGCCAAGACCCTGAACCCTCACCTCCCCCCAAAGCTTTCGTTTTCAGGATTGGCTGAATGAGAGGGATCGCCCCGTGGTCTACTTCGGCCAGGGCCCCTTGGCCGAAGTTTTGGGGTTTCAGGGTGGGGGAATACGGACTTTGATGGAAACCCTAAACCCTAAACCCTAAATCCTAAACCCTAAACCCTAAACCCTAAGCCCTAAACCCTAAACCCTAAACCCACAGCCTTTCAGTCAGCCGCCTGGTGTCCATCCCGGCAGTGCCCTGACTACCCCCACTTTTTTCAGCTCCCTTCAGGACCCTAAACCCTAAACCCTAAACCCTAAACCCTAAACCCTAAACCCTAAACCCTAAACCCTATGTCTATTTCAAATCATGGTTTGGCTGGATTTAGGGTTTAGGGTCTGGGGTTTAGGGGTTGTTGTGTTTCTTTTTGTCCACTGGACTTTAGAAGCCTGAGGCTGCAAACTCAGTGCTTTGTGAAGTTGTGCATTTGCTGCTTAGAGGAAGCTTCTGCAGTTGCTCTTGGGCCGCGGATTCTGGACCTTCAAGCTTCCGCACCCTGCGCCATTCACCCGAACCAAAAGCTCCAAAGTGCTATAAGCTCTGTGCAGGCACCAAAGCCCTATAGACCACAGTGACCCCCCAAACCGAATAGGCATGCGACCCCCAAGCCAATCATCAGCGCCTAGACCCGTTAGACCCCAAGCCGCAAGAGCCAGGGTCCTTCGACCACCACGACCGCCCCACTCTGACGGACATCATCCTCGATGCTCTCAAGGAGTTGCACATGGATGGCGTGGCACTGTCCAGGACATGGAGCTCGCCGGGATGCTTGTGGTTGTGTCCTAGGATCTCTCTCTCTCCCTCTGTCTGTCTCTGTCTGTCGGATAGCATACCTGCTTTCTATTCCGCCGTTTGATGGAGAGTCCCTGAACCCTAAACCCTGAAGTTCGTGTGAACCCTGAACCCTGAATGTTTGTGTGTTTGGGTCTGGTACCCTAAACCCTAAACCCTGAACCCTGAGCCCTGAACCCTAAACCCTAAACCCTAACCCTAAACCCTAAACCCTACATGTACATAACATTTCAGCTCTCAGGCCCAAGGCTTAAGGCTTGGGACACTGGAGAGTCACGAGGATGCTCAAGGCCCATGCTGTGCCCAAGCAGGGCTGGCAGCTACCCTACCGCACCCCTAAAGCCGAAACCCTAAACCCTAAACCCTAAGCCTAAACCCTAAACCCTAAACCCTGAACCCTAAACCCTAAACCCTAAACCCTAAACCCTAAACCCTAGCCCTAAACCCTACACCCTAGAGAAGAGGTTTAGGGCTTAGGGCTTTACAGGGCTCAGGGTTTCGGGTTTAGGGGTTAGCACAGGCATCATACCTTTTTCGCAGGGTCCATGAATTTCTCTAGGTACACGCTAGGCCGAAGAAAAAAAAAAAAACACAAAGCAAGTTCGACGAGAGGACCCTGGATGGTCGGGACCTGGCGCCCTACCCGCTCCGTGGTGGCGTTAGGCTAGACCGGCTGGCTGGTTCTTAGTAGGGAATGAGGGAATGAGGTACCCTATATCCCCCTACATACCCTGTGGATTATGTAGGATACCTCATTCCCCCAAATCCCCCATTCCCTTCTAAGAACCGGGGGACTGGGGGGCTCCGAAGTCTTCCCACAGTTGGCACTTCCTATTCATCACAGAAACTGTCTCCGAGCGGTAGAAGCGGTGGAATCGCCGGCGTCCCTGAAACCATCGGCACCAGAGCCCAAAAGACGTTCTCATCCTGCCTGGCACGAATGCGATTCAAGATTTGCACGAGCCCGCTGCTGGGGTGATTACCGCATTCTTGTACTAAGATCCATGACCTAAGCCAGCAGACCACTGAACACCAACCAACTGACTTGCTGAACACCAACAAACCCGACACACCCAGGAAACCCTAAACCCTAAACCCAGGTTCCTAAAGGCTGTGGCGGAGGTCCACCAGGACACGCTTTTCCCGCGCTGCGAGGCGGGGTGCTGATTTTAGAGCCTCTGCGCGAATTTTTGGAGGCTTGGATTGTCTTTGCATTTGTAGGGGTCAGGGTTTAGGGCTTATATAGGGTTTAGGGGTTATGGCTTTAGGGTTTCTGGGCTTTGGGGTTTAGCGTTTGGCCTCAGGGCCGTAGGGCTGTTTGGGGGTTTTTGAATTTCGTGCTTCGGGGTTTAGGGCTATAGGGCTTCAGGCAGCCAGCATTCACGGCTCAGGGGCTTTGGGGCTTCTTCTTCTACAATGAGAGTCTTTCTTACATGCGAGAATGTGCGGTTTGAGCTATATGATGTGAAGTCTGTGCTGGCACCCCACTCCCTCAACATAGGGCAGTCTAGGATTCAGGGTGGGCTTGCTTCGAGAGTCTCAGGGCTAAAGAATCGTACATGCGGGGGTTATTCCCGCCATCCTTTCCGGGCTTCTTCTCTGTCTCGTGCTACTCAATGTTCCTGTCCTCTCGTGTGAGTATGCTTAGCTCTGCCTCTGGCTCTTTCCCTAGACCTGAAACCCGAAACCGTAAAGCCCAAAATCCCTAAATCTTGGCTTTCTTATCCTTGAAACCCTCAACCCTAAACCCTCAACCCTAAACCCTAAACCCTCAACACGCTGCAGCCCTTTCTCTGCAGGTGGTGGTGCACCACGGGGGCGCAGGAACGGCTTCTCAGTGCATCCGCAGCGGACGCCCCGGCGTCTGTATGCCGTCCATGCCCTTTCAGGCGGGGCTGTGGCATCTGCTTTGTTCTACACCCCCACCACCTACCCACCCCCCCCCCCCCCACCCACCTCATCATGGCCCGCACGATTCCCGCTAACCCTAAACCCTAAACCCTAAACCCTTATAAACCCTTATAAACCCTTATTAATAAACCCTTATAAACCCTTATAAACCCTTATAAACCCTTATAAACCCTTATAAACCCTTATAAACCCTTATAAACCCTTATAAACCCTAATAAACCCTAATAAACCCTAATAAACCCTAATAAACCCTAATAAACCCTAATAAACCCTAATCAACCCTAATCAACCCTAAACCCTAAACCCTAAACCCTAAAACCTAAACCCTAAACCCTATGTTTGGGGTCGCAGAAGACCCCCCAATGCCCTGAGCAGGGCAACTCTTGATCCTCAGCCTTCAAATCCCATGTTCAACTCATCACCTTATGCGCCCTTCGAAACACCTAAACCCTGTGGTAAACCCTAAATCCTTGCGTAGAACCCAAAGCCCTAAACGCCTTGTTGAGTTCAAGTCCAAGGACAGGGCAAGTTTCGACTTCAGCTGGGCTGTTTCCCCCGAAGTGCCCGCGATCCTAGTCCTTAGGAAGCCCGGCCAAAAACCACGCAAACCCCTCCCCCCGCCCCCCCCCAAAGCTCCGTTTCTAGGGAATGAGGGATTCGTCGTTATGAACCTAAGCTCTAAGCCCTAAACCCTAAATCTTGACTACTAAATAAACCCTAAACCCGCGGTTTAAGAGGGGAATCTCCAGCCGCAAACGTCGCAGGCTGTTTGGGGCACCCGCCTCGAGGAGTTTGGTGCCGGCGTGGTCCTCCACCATCGTGATATGGTGGAGGCCCTGTCTAGGGATATGCTAGGGTTGTATATGAGGATATATATGTAGCTATCTTGGATGATAGATTCGTAGGGTTATAGACTGATAGCGTTACAGATTTGTGTAGAGTTATAGGGCTGTTAGGGTTCGAGTGTTTTTAGGCTAAAGGTACCTACGGTTAGTTTCAGGGGGTCAGCGACAGGCACGATTAGCCGCCTGGCCCCACAACCATGAGGCCTTCTCAGCAACAGTCGAACCTAAACCTTTAAACCCTAAACTTCAAACCCTAAACCCTAAACTCTAACCCCTAAACCCTAAACTCTAAACCCTAAACCCACCCTGGGTTTAGAGGTTTTCGGGAACCCTCAGCCCTAAGCCCTAAAGCCCTCAAAGAGCTCAAAGCTCTCTTGGGAAGCCTGGGTGAAGCCTAGGCCATGCAGCCCCTACGAGTTCGTGTTTTGGCCCAGGGTTTAGGGTTTATAGGGTTTAGGGCTTAGGTTTAGGTTTAGGGTTTCGGGTTTAGGTTTAGGGTTTCGGGTTTAGGTTTAGGGTTTAGGGTTTGAGGTTTTAGGATTTGTTGAGAGTACTTAGTGTGTGGGCGTTTCCGTGGCCATAAGATGCCCTTCATGTATTTCAAAGAGCCTCACCCTGGAGCTGAAGGCCTTGAACCTCTACACTTGAGCCATAGAAGCCTGGAACCCTAAACCCTAAACCCTAAA